AAGACATGGAAGCAACCTAAGTGTCCATCAGTAGATGACTGGATAAAGAAGATGTAGTACATATGCACAATGGAATATTATTCAGCCATAAGAAGAAAACAAATCCTACCATTTGCAACAACATGGATTATGCTCAGTGAAATAAGCCAGGTGGAGAAAGACAAGTGCCAAATGATTTCACTCATTTGTGGAGTATAAGGATGAAGCAAAACTGAAGGAAACAAAACAGCAGCAGACTCACAGACTCCAAGGGACTAGTGGTTACCAAAGGGAAGGGGTTGGGGAGGATAAGTGGGGAGGGAGGGATAAGAGGATTAAGGGGCTAATATTATGATTAACACACATAATATAGGGGGGGTCAGAGGGAAGGCAGTATAGCACAGGGAAGACAAGTAGTGACTCTACAGCATCTTACTATGCTGATGGACCGTGACTGTAATGGGGTATGTGGTGGGAACTTGATAATGGGGGGAATCTAGTAACCACAATGTAGCTCATGTGATTGTATATTAGTGACATAGTAATAATAATAATAATAATAATAATAATAAAAAGATACAAAGATGAAATGCAGGACTCACTGGAGGGACCCTCTGCCAGCCTGCCCCAACTCCCCATCCCTAGCAGCAGGAGGGGAGAGGGATGGGGACCAGAGCAGGCAGAGCTCCTTGGCCCCCATCTCTAGTCCTCAAGGCTCCTTCCCTCACCACTCTGCCTCTCCTTCCCCCATTTTTCTTCCCTCTTGGAGAGAACAGCCCATCACCTGTAGGCACTGGCCTTCTGGATGCTGGGAAGGTGTTCTCACCTCTTGGGAGGGGAAAATCCCACAGAGCTTTTGTTTATGGTTTCATCACATAAATGTATCCTTAAGCAACGCTGAGAAGCAAGAATCACCCAAACTGTGAAAGGCAGGGGCAATCTTGTACTAGAAGACTTCTGCGGGGAGAGAAGCCCATCAGTCTTGGTGTGGCTTTGACTTCTATGAGAGTTTACAAGAACCTTTGCTGGGAATACCAGGGAACAAAGTGATGAGGGAGTCCTAGGAAGCAGCCGTGAGGGCCTTGGGCCTTGGGCATCTGGATGGGATATGGTCAGAGGCAGTGGGCTGCTTTCTGCGTTCTGCTTTTGAGCTCAGTCCTATCTCCTCTGAGGAGCAGGTCAAAGTATTCACTTCCTGAGCAGGCAGGGGCATGGAGGGGAGAACAGTAGCCTCATTGCACTTGGTTAAGACAAGGCAGGTATAAATAAGAATTGGGGCAGACTCACCCAGGCAATTCTGACCTGAGGTTCCAAAGATGATACACTGGCATCAAGGATCTTGGTGAGGACAGCTGTCAAGGGTCGCCTGAGTTAGTCACCTGTCTTCTCAGTTTCCTTGGCTTTCTTTTTGGTTTTGGTAGAGCACCTTTCTCTCCTAGTTATTCCAGAAACATTTTGAAATCTTGTATGTCTTAAAATGTGTATGTTCTTTTTACTTGATTGATAGCTTGAATGGGTATAAATACTAGGTTGAAAGTAAATTTTCTTTAATGTTTTGCAAGCATTGCTTTTAACTTCTAGTGCTGCTGTTGAGAAATCCAAAGTCTTTCTAATATCTAATCCTTCATACATTATTTTTTTTTCTTCCTTCTATAAGTTTCTAGACTCTTTTCTTTAATTTGCCTTGATGTGGGTTTCTTTTCTTTTTATTTATTTTATTAAGGTATCATTGATAAAAGTTTCTTTTCTTTCTTAAAACATTTTTTTATTGAAATATAGTTGATAAACAATATTATATTAACTTCATTGTGTGAGTTTATTTCATCCACATTTCTAGGTCTTAGTGGACCAACCCTTAATGATCTGGCAACTCATGTCCTGATGTGAAAAATTTCCTCAAGTTAGTTCATTGATGATTTCCTCCCTTCCCTTTTCCTCTGTTTTTTCATTTTGTCTCTTTGGATTTGTTTTTGGTTTTTCTCTTTGGAACTTCTATTATTCTGATGTTGAACTCCTGGAATTGTCCTCTGATGTTCTTATCTTTTCTCTCCCGTATATTTGCTTTACTTACTAGGGTGATGTAGTCAACTTCATTGTCCTCTCTTTCTATTGACATTTTTGTTTCTGCTGCCATGATTTTATTTTTTCAAGACATAGTGGTTGCTGTTACTTTCGTCTGCATGTTCCTTTGTATAGTAGTATCTTGTTCTTGTTTTGTGGATGCAGTGTCATCTCTTACTTTTCTAAAGATACTACCAATGCTCTTTTCATCACTTTCTTCTCTCTGCATAACCTGTTTCCTCTACATTACTTTTTCTGATTGTTCAGTCTCTCTCTTTTCTGCATTAGGACGTTTCCTGGGTGTCTGATAATCCTTGGCTGTGATTAAGGCTGTGGGAGGTGGGAGGAAGGCTAACTGGGAACTTTGAACTCACAAGTTGGGTTTGCCATTGTAGGGGGATCTAGCTGGATTGTTTGTGTGAACCCCCATGTCAGTATCTTTAAGTCTTTCCTCTCTCGGACTGATGAAGTATCACAGAGTAGAGTCTTCTAGTTTCCTGCTTAGAGGACAAAGGTCCTGCTCCCAGAACTTTGGGAGCCCAATAGTGGGAGAAGACTCAGGGTCCCCGCACTCAGTATTCCATACAACATGGTCACTTAATTCCCTTGTTTTCAGAATCTTCAGTATGGTATCTCTGTTCACAGCTGTGCTCAAAGCTTCTGCAATCCAGATATCCTCATCTTACCTTCCTCAGAGGAAAATCTCCTAGACTTTGGCTGCAGTGGGGGAGGGCTTTTGTCCAGTGGCTTGAAGTTAGGGAAGAGATATAAGGATGTAACTGCTTTTCATCCTCGTTTTTATTTTAACAACATCTCCACAGTTCCAGGGGTACCTTGGATTGCCAATTGCAATGCCTCCTGAGAACTTTGCAATGTAAATCAAATTGGCTCTCAATTTTCCCCACTGCCAGTTAAGATGCCTTTTTCCACAGGGCCGTTAAGTCAGCAACAGCATGGCTGTCTGTCACCCTGCTTCAAAAATTCTGTAGCTGTTGTCTCTTTTACCATTCTCTCCATCCTTCTAGGTTTATCTCTTGATTAAAAATTATCTTTATTGAAGTCTTAGTGGGGTTTTGGGAAGGAGTAAAATTAGATGTATTCATCCAATCACATCTTAACCCAAAACTCTTACTTCCCTTTTCAATATATTTTTTAAAACACAATTCCTGGGAATAACCCTAGTTGGCCATGGAGGATTGCTATTTTAATGTACTGGGGTATGTTTATTTCTGTCTTTCCATTTAGAAGTCTTTAAGTGAACATGATTAGCAGGAAATGAGCCTTTCTATGAGGAGGATTCAAGGAAAATGTCTCTAGCAGGATAACTTTTAATAAATACATGAGAAAAGCCAGAGGGTAGATCCTAGTATTCAGCCTCCAGGCAGACCCTAAAAGACTGGGGTGGGGGGGAGTTCCATGCTAGAGGAGAGACCCTATAGTGATCCCAGAGGGCGCATCCAGGGAATGCCCTTTGCATTGTTTTGTTTGGAGACCCAGAATAAATCTCTGACTTCATCATTGACATTCCCTGGAGTGGGGCTCAGTTGGTGGCCTGATGTTCATTCTATCAATCTGGAGAATTCTGTGATAAGAAAATAAATACTGGATGTCTTTCTGAAATGTAACCCATTGCTCATATGGGTCCCAGAATTATTCATTCATTTGTTATTATTCACTCATCTAACATTCACTGACCACCTGCCATGGCAAAGAGCTACGGTAGCTCTCTTTAGCTGCCCTAGGCAACTCTTTAAGCACCCACCCCAACCTTACAGCACAGCATGGGAGGCGCAGATGGAAAGGTGGTCAGGTTCACATCCAAGGCCATAACATTAATTCTTACAAATTTTTGTAATTTTTATTTCAACATGGCTTGTGATAAGGAATAAATGAGGAGACTCCTGCAGTGCTTGGCTTTCAGTCAGATGTCTGGACTTTGAGGGAAAGCTTTATGTGGTGCAGGGAGCATCTTCTGTTTTATGTTCTCCTGATACTTTTAAATGCAGTCTTTTTGGAGGGAACATTTGAAGGGATATAGAAACTCAAGACAACATAAATGAGTCAGTCCTACTTAAATCAGTCACTGCAACAGCATAAGTGCATGAAGTAGCCACTGGGACCACCCTGTCCTTTAGTCATCTTCAACGCCAGGTGTCAGGCTTGGCCTGGGCTCTCTCACTTCACTGGTCCCCTCTTGCCCCTTACTGGAAGCAAATTGTAATCCACCTCTCACAAGCTCAGCTCACCATTCTTCCTGAAACTCTTAGCATTTTTGAGAAATCCGTTTGAGGAAAAAGAAATGTTACACGAAGATTGACATTTGGCAGGTCACCTGTGAAGTGCAGGTATTCCCATATGGCAGTACTACTGTTGAAAGCCACCAGGTGGTGGAGAGGGCATCGCAGAGACTGGATTCACAAGAGCTGTGTAATTTGGGGCAAATCTAGCACTTTTCTGAGTCTTAGTTTACCTATCTGTGAAATGGGGACACTCACAGGGTTGTGGTGAGGTGGAAAGAAGAGGTGTAAAGTGCCTGTTACACTTTAACGAACGTGGTGGTTCTTCTTGGCCGGAGTGCTGCCCTGGGACACGCTGCCGTGTGTGTGCATGTATGTGTGCGTGTGTGCATTCGCGTGAGCGCGCGGGGATCTGGCCCGCGGGTGGTTCCCGGGGAAGGCGCGCCTGTGGCTGCGCGCGGTGGAAATGTGTGGTTGCCGGCGCCAGGCTGAGAGCTGGGAGCCCGCGCCCGCCGCGGCTGGTCGGCAGCGCGGGGTGCACGGGCGCGCGTGGGGGAGACAGGCACAGAGGCGGCGGCGGCGGCGGGCGCTGCGGCCCCGGCGGGGGGCGGCGGCCGGTGCAGAAGGAGGGGGCGAGGGCGGGGCGGGAGCGAGGGCGGGCGGAGCGCGGCAGCCGTGGAGCCCCGGCGCGGGCGGCTCTGCCGGGGAGCGAGGCTCGCAGCCAGGAGGAGGCGCCGCTGGGAGGGAGCGTGTGCCCCGAGCCGGGCCGGGCCGCCCGCCTGGGGACAGCGCTGCGGGCCGGTGTCGGGCCGGGCCAGACCCCGGGCAGCGTGTGGGAGAAGCCGCGGTCGCTGGGACCAGCCGAGGGGCGTCGGCGCGACCGAGAGAACCGGAGAGACTCCGCGGAGCGTCGCGGGGCTGGCAGCCTGGGCCGCCGCGCCCGCCCCTTCCCGGGCGTCTTGGTAGAGGAGACCCGCTTGCGGGAGGGAGCGAGAGGAGCAGGTTGGCGGGTCTGGGCAGGGGGAGAGAGAGCGTGTGTGTTTGCGTGTGTGTCTGCCAGGGGTGGGTGGGTGTGTAAAGGTGTGTGGCGGGGTGACGGTGTGCGATGTGTGCGTACGGAGTGTATGAATGTGTGTGTAGGGGTGTGTGCGACTGTATATAATGTATCTCTGCTAGGGGTGTGTGTGTGTGTGTGTGTGCGTGCGTGCGTGCGTGAGACAGGAGGCTGGGAGCTCACAGAGCTTGGGTCTGAACCCATGTAGGAAGGAGAGGGCACCGCAGAACCAAGTGTGTGTGTGCGCGCAGGGGTGTGTGAAGGGTGAGTGTGTCACGGGTGCTAGATGTGTCTTCTGTGATGTAAGGGGGCTGGGTACACGTGTGTCCCTGGCTCACCCTCCCCTGCCCCCACCAGATGTGTTTGCACAGTGGGGGAAGTTCTGGAGAGGAGTCTACTGCGGCAGCCCCTGGCCCAGCTTGTCTGGCCATCTTCCCTGGGAAGCCAGAGATGGCCAAGCTACCCTGCCCCCAAATACATCTAGGGTTAAGGGTAAGGGAGCAGGCCAGGCTCCAGGACCCAGGGAGAAGGCTGAAAGGCCAGTCTGGGACCCCGTGCTGTCTCCAGCCAGAGCCAGGCTGCCTTCTCCATCTGGGCCACATCACTCAGCCCTGTGCTCTGCGCCTCCCAGGGCCCTGCGATCCCAGGGTCTGAGTAGTGAGAGGGCCAACATCTTAGGACTGAGAGAGGGAACAGGTTGAGACTCATCCATGAGGATTCGCTTGTTCATGGTTGTATTACTAGAAGGGTGCTTGGCACATAGTAGGCTTCCATACATGTCTGAGGGTGGAAGGGAGGTTAGAAAGAAGAGAGGAACAGAAGGGGTCTGAATCTGGGAGTCTAAGACCACTCCCTCTGCTAGTAGTCAAGAATGAGGGCAGCTGGTCACAGTCAGACCCCAGTACCCTGATTGAGCAGGTGAGAGAGGCAGGGGTTTAGAGAGAGGGAGCCTTAGCTGGAAGAGAAGGAAACTGCAGGGGAGAGATTTGTCCTGGGGCCTGAATGGAGGAAGGAGCTGGCAGCTCTCCTTGGGCAGAACCCTTTGCATCCTGCCCCACCACCTGTTTCTTTGGGATTAGAAGCCTCTCTCTGGAGCATCTGATGCCATACAGCCAGGGCTCACAGGGCCTCTCCTCTCTCCAGGACCTTCGTGCTCAAAAGGTGCTGAAGAACTGAGTCCCCTGCCCACTGAGGCCACCTGAGGCCAGGTGGGGCCATGGCAGGGCATGGCTGTCTGGGGCTGGGGCTGTTCTGCGGGGTCCTGCTTGCTGTTCCTGTGGGCCCCCAGCCTGCCTCCTCCGTCCCACGTGTCTCTCTCACTACTTTGACACCACCACCTCAGAGTGAGGCCTCTATGCTGTCTCTCAACCTGGGACTTAACTTCAAATTCCACCTTCGGGGACCTGCTGCTGCCTGGGGGAGCCCTGTCACAGAGACCCAGCCACTGTCTCCTGGGCCCAGCCAGGAGCCGGAGGAAGAGGTGGCTGGTGGGCTGAGGAGTGACTCTCTTTGGGAACTGCTGATGGGCTCCCTCGGGAACTACCCCCCAGAGTGGGGCTCTGCTGAGGGCAGCTCTACTCCTTGGACCTCCTCCCTGCCTCTAGAGTCCACATCCCTCCTCACTGGGCCCACTGATGGGCCCACTGCTCCCTATCAGCCCAGGATGGGCACTATGACCTGGGACACTGCTCTGACGACTACAGCACCTCCATCTAGTGCTCCCAGGCCCCACCAGAGCGAGCTGGAGCTGAGATTTGATGTGGCGCTGAGAGCAGGCGTGGCCCCCACACTGGGGCACCGAACACTGCCCCTGCTGCCCAGCCTAAGGGCCAGCCTGGCAGAGATTGCTGGGCACCTGGGCCCCTTTGGTGAGTGCCTGCCCATCCTGATGAGAGCCCCTGCTGGGCAGCCTGGCAGGTAAGAGGAAGTTTAAACCCAGGCTCCTTTTGCAGGGTTCCTTGGCACCACTCTGTCCCCAGTCCGGAACTTCTCAGGCCTCAGTCCCCCAAGCCCAACTACATCCCCAAGCTCGGACTCTGGAGTTACGGATTCTCTAGGTGAGTTCATTGCCACAAATATTTATGAAATACCTTTACATGCCAGGTGCTGTGCTAGGGGCCAAACCAGCACCTCCCTTTCTTCCTGACTTGAAGGGAGGCCTGCATTGCTTCTCCCAGGCCTTGGGACACGGGCCAGTGCTCCCATGGGGAAATGCCCTCTTTGCCATTCTGAGTCTAGTTTGGTCCTTGTAGCTTAATGGCAAGCTCTGGGGAAGGATAGGATTTTCTCCAAAGCCCCAGAGGCCAAGGCCAGCTGGCAGCATGGCACTCCAACTCCATGTGATCCCTTTGTAGGGTTATTTGGCACCACTCTCTCCCCACCTCCAAACCCCTTGGAGAAAAAGCTCCCAAGCCCACATCTGTTGGATCCAGCTGCTTCCCCAAGCTCTGTCTCAGTTGTAACAGCATTAATAGGTAAGTGTCCAGTTGTTTGAACTTGACATTTATTTATGTCAAGCCACTCATTGGTGTTCTGGGACCATTTTACTTCATTGTCATTATAATCACAATTGCCATTCTCTTCATCATCACCGTGGAGGTACATGTTCATGGTATGAGAACAAGTGTTTCTGGGGACAGTCTCACAAAGTTGAGTAATGTTCCTCTGGGAGTTTTACACTCACAGTGGAGTAGGTTGTAGACAACAGTATCAGGGGCATACAGACTCAGGAACTCCTTCACGATTTCCATAGCCTCGCCTCAGCCCCACTCTCTGCTCTAGCCTGCCTGGTCTGCCTCCCCACCTGTCACCTCAACCCTGGGGCTCTCCCCTTTACCACCTGATCTGACATGACATGCTGTCAGATATGGGCAGAGCAGGGCCCCTCACTAAGATGTTGAAGAGGACACCTTGAACAGACAGATGCCATCCTTGTTCAAGAGGGCCTTTCAGAACATGCACATAGACAGCGGTGCCTAGCTGGTGGTGCAGAGGAAAGACCAAGGGCTCCGGAATCATGGGACTTGACTTTGAATCCCATTTCACTTACTAACTGGCTGGGTACTCTTGGGCAGGTTTCTTAATCTCTCTGTGCCTAAATTTTCTCATATACCTAGAGTTTAATAGTAGCACCTATTTTGTTTTGAAGCTTCCAGATAATGTAAGCTCCCAGCTTGAGGCTGGACACAAAGGAGAAGCTCACTGAAAAGTAGCTGTTAACTTTGTTTCTCCTCTCCCCACATCCCAAATACACTTCCAGACCCTACCTCTCAGACACTACAACCCTCACGCCAAGATGTGATGGACAACACATAGCCCACAGGGCAGAGGGCACACTGCTCAGGGAGACGTTCTGGTAGGTAAGGCCAAGGGGGCCATGGAGAGGGACCTCCAGGCCCAGCTTTGCTCTGCAAAGGGTTTACTGCAGCTATGAATCCTCTTAGCCACCCCACACTAGGAACCAGCTCAGCAGTGGAAGCCACTGGTCCTCCAGCTTCTTCCAGCTCCAGATTTAACACAGGATCTGACTCTCCTCACTGCACTCCTGGGCATGTGGGTGAGGAGGCTGCTGCCCCCTCCTGGTCCAGCACAGTGTATAGCAGTGGCAGGATCTGCTGTGGTGTAGGGGCCAGGCTCTGTGGCCTCAGGGGAAGGATGCTGGTTGGCAGTCTGTCAGCCTTGGTGACAGCACTGGCCAGGCAGGTGTAATGAGTCTGGACAGTATCAGGGGCAGCCCTACTCACCACCTCTCCCTGCTCCCCCTCCCCCTGATGGCTACAGGAACCCAGCCTCTTCCTGGCTATTCCTTCTGGATAAACCCAGGATGGCTACACACCTCTTGGAGAGAGGGCCAAGGGGCCTTGCTTGAGCCAGCAGCATGTATAGAGAGTGATGTCAAGCAGTTAGGGGACAAAGGGAGCCTCTCTGTGTCTTCCCTACTTTCTTTCTAACCTTGGTGCAGTTAGCCTTGACCCTAGGGCTTCTATTCCCTTTTCTTAGGCTCCCTTCACCTCTGGACAGAGCTTTTTTCAGCCAGTACATGCTGGAAGAAGTTGTGTGGGTCATTAAGACATTGAAAGACTTTTACAGCCACTGTCCTCAGCCCCTGGGCACTCCCCTCTGCCCTGGTGACATCTGATTGGATGGCACCTGTGCCATTTCCAGTGGTTAAATATTTTGATTATCTCCCTTACAATGAGTATCAATCCTTTGTGATTCTGGACATGGGGGTGGGCAGAGGGAGAGGGCCAGGCCACTGAACAGACTGCAGCTTCTGGCATCCAGAGTAGAAAGTACCCAGCCCTTTGATCTGGGCAGCTGGTGGATAATCAGGCCTGACTTTTCCATAAATCAAGCCAGCCCCTCTCCCCTACTCCTCCCCACCCAGTTCTGACCTCACCGATTACACTGATATCCTGTCTTATCCCTCAGCCCTAAGGTCAAGAAGGGTCAGAAGGCCAAAGTGGGACCACCTTGTAAGGGAGGCCTGCTCAGGAGAGGGACTCCAGGAAGTCACTATCTTCTGGGCCCTTCTGGGTGCAACTGAGAGCTCCTTCTGGGGAAGCCTTGAAAGGGGAGACAGGGAATGAGGTCATGTGGATCCTTCAAAGGCAGAAGCTGGGTGTTTGCCTGTCCCCAACCGCACATGGCCCAGCACTGGGCACACTGGGCACACCCTGTCCCCTGCAGCTGTGCTCCTAGTTCAGAACTTCCTCCTCTGACACCTGAGCTGTGCCTGTACTTGCCTATTTTCTGGTTTTTGTTCCTCTTCTGGCTTCTTAGGAATGTTGAAATTTGCTCTTCGTTGCGGTAGTGTTTTGGGATGGAGGTGAGAGACTGGGTTTCCTGAGGCCCTAGGTGAGAAGTAGAGTGGGAATAGGGTGAGGTGGTACAGACCTCAGAGAGCTGCACTTGGCTGTAAAGGAGCAAGGAGGAGGGCCGGAGGCACCACAGGCCACTGGGGCTTCTAGGCAGAGTCTCTGCCTCTCCGCAGAGCCCACCCAAGCCAAGGAAGGGTCAAGCAAACCTATCCACTTGGCAGAAGTGGGCTGGGAAAGGGCATCTGAGAGGACCAACAAATGGGTGGGGGGGTGGATAATATTTAACATATCAAAGTGCTAATGTCAGACTGATCCACCCCTGGTCACACAAGCCATCTGTTCCACCTGAATGGTTCCTCATTTAGCTCATGGCTGTGTCCATTAAGGGTTCAGGGATGGTCAGTCCATACAAACGGTGTTCTTTAAACAGGGTTCACAAAGTGAGACAATGTGTTTATGTTAATTTATCTGACTAATTGTTGCCTTTCTAAGCAAGTTTAGGATGTGCTAAGAGATGACAGCCTTTTGTTAGTTAAATCAAGAACTAGCTTGAGGTCAGAAATAGTCACACACAAACACAAACAAATGATCGATGGGTGATAAACATTAGCTGATAATGATGATGCCAACAACAATCATATGTTGAATGCTTGTTCTACACAGGCATTCTAAGGAGCTCTGGACACATTGTTCTTCATTGTTATGAGGATCCTCATAACAACCCTATATAGTAGGCACTCTTCTCCATTTCATACTTGAGGAATGTCATGGAATGGGGGCCAGGGCATGTGCTGCCCTTTACAGTAGGCAGTGATCTGTGTACATTTAAATTTTGGGCTGCTTCCTCTTTGAACTCCCCAGTTGTCTGATTCTGTCTTCCCCTCCTTTCTCTCCAGAGCTGCTTTCTGCCCCTACACTCTTTTTCCTTGTTATCAGTACTGCTCTGTTTTGCATGTTCTTGGCATGAGCTGGCACTTGCCTGATGTTGGGGTGCTCATGGGGTCTTGCTATGTTATCCAGGTGAGGCATGGCTGGGGCAGAGCCGGGCAGTTGGGAGTCTGGTTGTCAGGAGACCCCCCCACCCACCCGCCATTCTATGCCTCCCTCCTTTGCACCTCCCATCCCCATCCTTCACCAACATCTTTCTTCCTGGCCTCCAGCTGCAGTTCTGCTGAGCCTGCTTGGTGGGGTAGGGAGAGGTTCAGCCTGAAGCATCTACTCTTGTTGCCCAGTCATGGGGAGAATCCTTGGTCTAAGTCTTCCTAACTCCTCCCTTGCTCCAGGAGAGTAGAATTAGGAATTGAACTCCTCACCCTCTCTTACTTGGCTTTCCTTTCCCCAGGGAATGTGGGAAGGATATTAGAGCACAGGATGGGGCTGGGGGCCTGAGTTAGCAAACCCCAGAGCACCTGAGGAGCTCACTCACTACTTCGGTGTTTTATCTCACTGTGATCTACCCAGTTGTTCCTTTCTGGGAGTTCAAGGGTAGCCTCAAGACCCAGGGGAGTCCATCTCAACGTCACCTTCTATAAAATGGGGTGAGAACCAAAGGGGCACCTATATTAGTGCCTTTGATCAATGGCTTTGTGGTTGAGTCAGGAATGGGGAGCACAGCCATGGGTAGGCTGCAGGTTGGGGGTGTAGTGGGCAAGAGGCCAGTGAATAGGAAAGGTGTTCTTAGAGTGCTGGGTGCTGGGGAAAGAGTATCTTACCTCCCGGCCGCGGCTGCTGCTGCTGGGTGTGTGTGTGTGTGTGTGTGTGTGTGTGTGTGTGTGTGTGTGTGTGTGTGTGTGTGTGTGTGTG